CTGAATGTGTCCACCAGTCCGACATCAGCCGCAGAAACTGGCATAGACGGAAGCGATGGGAGCAGTCTCGTCGCCTCACCAGATGGCACCGCGGACGACTATAGTCGATCCACACCGCTAACGAATGGCACCGCTAGTCACTTGTACAGTCCCGAAGCGTGGCTGGACAGTGCCGGAGTTGGTGGTGGTGAGCATGGGTTGCCACTGTTCGGAAGCGTGTGCTATCGATTAGTGGCTCAGCCCCATTCGGCACTCAAGCCTCTGCGTACCGGCTGGATGTGGATTCGAGTAAGTTTGTCGCTTCCCGTCCTGTATTTCAGATTTCCTGTTCTGCTGCGGGTCGAAGACATCCTTCGCGTGTTGGTTTTAGTCTGGCCGACGTTGGGCGGAGTGGGCGGGTTAGTAACCTAGACGTAGATGGTCGGATCTTTCAGATTGCATCAAACACGAACTCAACATCACATCAAATTCAGCTCAATAGGCTCCGTGGATTTAGACACGTTTTGCTTATGTCTAACGGTTGCCTACCACACTGCGCCTTATTTGCGGTGTCCGCGGCAGACTGGAGTAAACCACGTGGAGGACAGCCTGTGACGTGGATACGAGATATGGAAAAATGCATAGAACTACTGAGTAGAGTAGGTGTCTCTTGTCTTCCGGGTTGGGGTCCAAAAGATTCCGTAACTGGATGGTTGGAAACACGGAAGGTTATGGCTACGAACCGACAGCAATGGCAATTTTGCTGTCACTTCTTATGGGATCAGAATGCTTGAACTATTATGTATGCACAAGTAGACTGTGTCTCTTCAATCCCACTAAAGGAGTTGATAACTAACCTATGCGAACATCATTTGAATGCATCTGAAAAGTTTGCGCATAAGATTCTCATCGACTCCACACATCCGCTACACGCCAACCTAACTTCCTGTCATTCCCATCCTTCAACTGGATCACAATATCGTTGTGTTCCCTCTCGAATGAACATTTATCGTAACTCCACAGTACCCTCATTAGCACGTATTCTTGTTAACAAAGAACGGTTTTTCACAGACTTTGCTAACAGTTTCGGGATTTAAATCTCTTTTTTCACTGTTGTTTTCATTTTCTCCCTTGCTCCAAACTGTATATTTTTTAACTGAAATGTGGGCTTCATGCTTGCAGAAGTTATTACAATACAATACAATACAATTAACACCAATCAGTTTAGAGTCAATCAATCATGATATGTCTCAAAATTACACAGTAAATCGTTTTCATAGCCTCCCACTGTACCGAATGCCTGAGACTTTGTTTTTCCGGGCCCCAGGGTTCACAGTTCACCTTTTGCTCTAACAAGTAGATTTGACGCTCCGTTTTGCACTAGAATCTTGTCCTCACACGCACACAAACAATTTGGTTTCATTCACTCTGCCTTCGTCATCTGTGTCATTTTTTGTTTCATCTATTATCCCACCCTATTTGTCCCACTAGAAACTGACAGCTTCACCAGCACAATCACCGGCGCGACTCTACTGGTGTGAGTTGCGTGATCGACATTTGTGGGTCTACTCCGCCGCGGGGATGGACTTACGTCGTACGGACAATTTAACCAAAATCTCCGAATTGGATATAACGGTACGTGTCAAGTCTGCCCAACTTGATTGATTAGGTTGCTGTTTTCATTTTCTGTCAATTTTGGTTCACCACTAGGCGATAAACGACCGAAACGGTGAATTTCTACAGTGCACTTATAGTAACCTGTAACTGGAGTCCTTAGACTAGTTATGACGGTTTTGTCACCACCTAACCGACGCGGTTTTCCTGTTTCGTCACTCCAAGTCCCTCGGATAAGTTGGTGTCATTTTTTTCCAAACTCGGTGAATATTGTACGATCGTAGAAAACATCACCTACACACACACACACACACACACACACACACACACTCGCCTCACTTTCTTCTAACTAACCGAGCTACTGCTGTAGCGTTGGTTTTGTCCCCCTTGGTCTCCCGTCAATCCTCCTACTCGTTTTCGTACACAAACTTCATTCCCTTTCCCCTTCTTCAGACACCGTTCACCTCTACTCCTCGAATGATTACCTACTCACACTTCATTTTAGTTCACAGCTGACATCTGTAGAGAAACTCATAAACTAGTAGGTGGTGATGACACAGTGATTTAGTCACTGCCACAGACGTGCTTTGGATCCTATGGTCCGAGGTTCAAGCCCCTCCATCGCCACCCGACT